GGGGAGAGACTCCAGCCTTCCCTCCACCAGCAGCAGGGAGCTTTCACTCTCTTCTTCTCACCCCCATCTTGATCTGGTGCAAATACTGAAGGAGATGTTCTTACACTGTGCACACTGCTAAGCCTTCTTTTTTACCCTTCTGGACCATGCGATATTTCATTCTATTTGCTGATCTGTTGCCTTAACCAAGACGGTCTCCTCTCTCTGTTTCCCACTCTCTCTTGCTGCCTGTATTGCTGTCCATTTATGTATCTCTCTAATTGCCTGTTGAATCTTCAGTGTTCTTCTTTACTCCCACTAATTTTTTAAATGATACGTTCCCGGTTTTTTTAATGATCAGTTAATGAAAACAAAGTACATAAAAGACGGAATATTCACTAAAACGCAATCCCACATCATGGTCTCCACACATACTCTCAAAATGCTCCCTGGGCTTTTAGTACACAAGGAACCACTTGTTGTGAGCTGCCCCGAGGCTTTGTTGTGATGGGGGTGGCATAAACATGTTTTAAATAAATAAATAAGTGTGGGCGAGAGACCAAGTTCCAACACGGATCCTCACGCAGAGAAAAGATGTCATGCATTTCCCAATGCCAGCTGAGATGGAGTGAAGTCCCACAGAAGTCTGTGCTCAGACCCTGAGGTGTTTCCACAAAAGTCAAAAGAACCCAGATCTCTGCTGCAGCTGCGACTACTCCAGCCCCATTGCTCTTCCTCTTTGCAGGTTCTTGATGGGCTGCTCCTCTGCACAGATTCACTGTGTCACTTGCGGCACAGAAATAGACTGTGGAGTCCCGCAGCTGGATGGCAGATTTCTCCAGATGGTAGGTCTTCTTCTGTGAATCATGCTTGGCATTGAAACCTTCCACTTCCCCTGTACTGGACCAACTCAAAAGAAGCTTTGGAGGATGACCAGGATGCTGAGTGTACCAAAACACATAGGCTGCTGATTGATAGGTACAGTTCAGGCGTACAGGATCCCCTTCACTCACAGTCACGGTACCTTTAGTTTGGTCAACCGACTGTCCAGCGCTTGCTTCTGCACAGAAGATAATGGAAGGAGAGAGGAGGTTAGATGGACTAGTAGGAGAGCAGGGGAATGGATGGACACCCCCAAAATGGGTCCCTTTACTCTGAGCTTCTTATCGATCATTTCAGAAATATCTCCTGCTACTTTTCCTCTTCCCTAAATGCTTACTTTATCCCTGCCTTGTTGCAGTGCATCATGAGGAGCATTTTCCCACACGTCCCTAAAGGATCATTTGAAAATATGATTAGATATGGATGGAGATGGAGATGAAGGGGAGGGGGATGGATTTTCTTCTGCACATGTAACGCAAATGAAACTATATATGTATATCATGACTTGACCAGAAAAAGGTCCATTACTGCCTCCAGCCCTCAGTCAACACCACTCAGATCTAGCTTGTAGGGTCTATTTCATTCTTTTTCTGAATTTTTGAGATCCCCAACGAGGACATGGTGCAAAAGAGTTCCATAGGGAATAAATGAATTCTGAGTCAGAGGAAGTATTTCTGATTGAATGGAGCTCACTATCCCAACGCCTCCCCACCCCCAGATCCATTCCTGGGTATCTCAAGCTTGCAGCAAGATATTCCAGAAGGGGTCAAGCATAGCTCTTCTACCAAGACAGGTAAATAACTGTGAGCCAGAAATCCTTGCAGATCTCCTTCCAGTCACCGCATGGTCTCCAAGAAGATATCACTCTACCACCTTCTAGCCCAGATTCAGAAAATCTCAAGGCTTCCTGAAGTAAGAGGAAGAGAAAGACAACCGTGAATACAGTGGATGGAATTACTTACTCAGAAGTTCCATGAGGAACGCAGCCCAGACCAAAAGATGGCACATCTCCCTGGATTGAGCTACCAAGAACCAACCAAGGACTTGGAAGGACTTTGGATCAGTTCTTATCAGCCCCTGCAGTTTGTACTGTATACTCCTGTGTAGGAGAAGTTTTAGTGAAGTTCAGCTGATGCCTTCTTCCACTTAGTAAGTAATTTCTTAAAAGCAAGCATAGGTAGAAGAAGAGTAAACCACAAGATGTGGTTAGTTATCCAGAGGCCAATGTGTGATCTACACAACTTAAAGCTTTCCAAGTTTTACATTACAGGGTATTTATAGAATAAGCTCAGCATCACCACCTTGTGCCTGAAAAATGTATGACAAGCCCAGTTACAGAGAAAAGAGCTTTGGGCTCAGAAAACAAAAAGACTCCAAGTTTTTATTTATTTATATATTTAGCAGTTACCTTTCAGCCCAGATAGAACTCCCTTTCCATTTAAAATTAAACGGGTCTTATAACTAATTCACTTCTTACCTGATCTGTTCTCCATATATCTAGAAAACAGATGCCTACTTTTGGATTTTTAATCTATATTTACATTTTTTCTGGCTATATTCCTCAGTCTTCTATTTTTAATTAATTTATTTATTTAAAATGTTTATATGTTGCATATTCTATCCATGGCCTCTCTAGGCATCCCTATGAAATAATTCTTTTGGCTGTTTGTGAGAATTTCTGTGAACAGTGGCATTATGAATAATTGGAATTAGATCCATGGGTGGCATATTGGTTACCTGGTTACCTGAAGGAGCGCTTGCATCCATATATGCCCAGCCGCCCCTTGAGATCGGCGGGGGAGGCCCTTCTCCGGGAACCCTCCATGAAAGAAATTAGGAGGGTGGGTACTTGGAGGAGGGCTTTCTCTGCGGTGGCGCCTAAGTTATGGAACGCGCTCCCCAGAGAGGTCTGCCTGGCGCCGTCGTTATTTGTTTTTCGGGGCCAGGCGAAGACCTTTTTATTCAAGCGGCATTTTAACTGTTAACATTATTGGTTTTATCTGGCCAGGATGGCTTATTTTATACTGTATTGTGGTATTTTAATTTAATATTTATATTTTTAATTTATATTATAATTATTGTGAGCCGCCCCATTCGCCGAAGCCTCGGGGCGGCATAAAAATGTTTCAATAAATAAATAAATAAATAAATATCCCAGCATTTTGTGGATGTATCTTTGGTCACTCATCAGATAGACGTTGTCCCAAGGAAAGGATCCTGTGCTTGCACAACATTCGGAATCTAGGTGCATTAAGATCCATTTGTGCATTGAATACTGATTGATGGAAAGGACTAGCCCCTTGATATCTTAAGATCACAAAGCACTCAGCATGGATGCCTCAGATGGTGTTGTGGGTTTTACTTTCAAGAGAGAATATGAGACTCAGTTTAATCAAGAATACTCAAGTGGAGAAAATGGGGGAGGGGGTGTATGTTTGGTTTGGAGAGGACATAAATCTGAGTAACCCAATCCCATGTCAGTTGATATTGAATCAAGTCCCACAGAAATCTGTGATCATACAGTAGGTATATACACACATAGCCATGTATATACATGGTCTCTCCCCAACCTTCCCCTCTCCAGCAGTCTTAGATGAAACCTTAAAGTGCAATGCTTTATTTTAGCTCTGTAGGTTACAAACAGTATAAATAAAAGGTATGCTCTCTTTGAGATGTGGGAGAAACCTCTGCCCATGTGAAGAGTAGAATCCAAAGAGAAACATCCCCCCTTCCCTCCCTTTTGGAAAGATCTTGACTCCACTCTCAGTGGGTTTCTGCTGCATGAAGACCAGATAGAAGGAACACTGGACACTTGACTTGTCTTCTCCTTACGTGGTCAAGGATGTCCCTTCACAATCTCCTCAGTCCTGAAATGTCTCCTCCATTCCCAAGGTGGCCTGGTTCTCATGCTCCATCTGAATGCCTTCACTTGGTACTCTTGAAAGCACAATGTCATTTGCCCTTCTGCCACCTCCTCTGAATCCAAAGAATCCATCTGGAGAGTAACTCGAGACGTCTGGGCCCGTTTCACTACATTACACATAAGACTGCAACCATTTAGGGCCCTGCAGATGAAACCTCTTCACTGCATGTTCCTCTTGCCAGTTTTTGACGGGCTGCTCTTCTATACAGCCTCACTGTGTCCTCCACAGCACAGAAATAGACAGCGGAGTCCTTCAACTGGCTGGTAGATTTCTCCAGGTGGTAGGTCTTCTTCCTTGAATCATGGCTGGCCTGGAAGCCTCGACGACTCCCCTCTTCTTCTACATGCTCCCTCAAAAAGATCCTGGGAGCTTGACCGGGTTGCTGAATGTACAAATAAGTAGACACCGAGCTCAAATATTGATAACTGCACTTGAGAGAGATGCTGTCTCCTTGGGTCACAATCTCAACGCTGTCCTTTTGCTCAACTGACTGTCCGGTGCTCATTTCTGTACAAAGATAATAACAGAAGGGATAGTGTTAGATGGCAGCTCTGAAATCTCCCCTTGGCATTTAGATTCTGAAAAACCATTTCAGAGTTCAAGAACTGCTTCTTCTCCCATTCTCCAAATGTTTATTTCATCTTTGCCTTGTTGCATCCAACCTTCTAAGGACAAAGCCTGCCTCATCTCCCATGACACTGAAAGTATGTAAAAGCAAAGCGTCTACATGTATTACATTTCTATCCCACCTTTCTTCCATCCTGGAACTCCAAGTGGCTACTTGCAGTTCCAGGTGGTCCCTCCTCCAAGCATTGACCAGGCCTTCAGCATGGTGGTTACCTTCAGATTGTCCCCCAAAGTATTTAATTATTTCATTAGGTAAGTTGCATTGATTCTTCTTCAGCAAGGGTGAGACCAATATAAAACTTCCCTTGGTTATATTGTACTTTCAACATTAAAAGATCCATTCATAATCTCTCTATCCCTAGAAACAACACCATTCTTTTCAACCTCATGGAATAAGCTTGGTTGTGGTACTTGGTGAAAAGTCATGCAGAAAAGTCCTGGTGAAAAGTCATGCAGTTAGATTGAATGAGTTCCAAGTATTTTGAATAGCATGGAGCCCAAAGTCATTCCATGTGAGTTCTTTTATGGGAACCTCAAGTTTTCATCATTTCAGGAATACAAATTTGGAGTGCTGGAAGTAATTTTGTTTTTGACATTAATAAAGATAAAGATAAAGAGATCAGAGTCAGAAATCCTTGCAGATGTTCTGCAAATCACCAAGATATCTTGCAGGAGATCTCAGCTTACTACCTTCTGTCTGCGATTTAGACATTCTTCCATCTCCAAGGCTACATGAAGCAAAAATAAATAAATAAATAAAGACCACCAAGCAATGTATCACTTACTCAGGACTGACATGATAAACACAGCAGGCCCCAAAGAAGAGGCATTTTCATGGACCGAAGAAGCGAATTCCACCAAGGATTTGGAAGGACTTCAATATTGTTCTTTTCAGCTTCTGCATTCCATGCAGCGACTCCTACATGATATAATATGATGAAATGCTGCAGACTTCTTCCAGTTGGTGAATCATTTTTGAAAAAAAAACAGCCCAAGTTTAAGAAGAGCAAACCACAAATGTGGTTACAGGGCAGGATGCCAAAGTACCATATTGGTAAAATGTTTTTAATCTTAAGCATGACATAGTATGTGTAGAACTTGTTCCACATTGTATCTCTGAAAACCACCTACAAGCAAGAACTTGCAATAAAAATATAGGACCCCGAGTTTTTAAATCGTTATTGTTATTGGATTCATACATTAACGAAACACTTTTTATGCAAGTCAGACATTCTGTTAAGTTTTGGTTTTCCTGGTTGCACTCCAGTTTTTCTGACTTTAGCCACACACTTCAAGGAGACTTCCCCATTTACTTGCAAGGAGAAAGGTGGCATCATTTAGATATCTTTTGCTTATTTTGTAGATTTTTGCTTTGCCTGCCTGTGTGTTTTATTACACAACCAAAAGTGGCACTGAGGTACACCACAAGTGCAGAATTCCATGAGCTTTCAGTTCAGTCTCTGCAAATTTAAAATTACCTCATCACCCCATGCTGAAAAAGCCGGAAAGGGGGCTCCAAAATGTGGAGAGGGCCCAGGAGGAGATCATGAGGATGATGGGCTGATTTTGTACACAACAAATGCCCATGTGGTATGTTTCTGTTGTAACCCCCCTCGCAATCGAACATGCAGCTAGGGCATGGCTCGTCACAGGTAAGAAGCATGATCAGAGTGTCCTGTTCGCGTAAGAACAAGAGCCCCAACGAATGTGCAGCTACGCAAGGCTGACCACAAAGCAGCCTTTGTTGCTACGCTCCAGCGTAACGTCACGCCCTGTACCCTCGCTTGCTTGCTTTAGCATAAAAAAATGTGTGCGAATGTAGCTCAGTGGGTTTCCCCTATTGTTCGCTGTTATTCAAGCACCTGCATAGCCGTCCGTGTAAATGAGTATAAAAATCCTGCCTTCGATCTGCTCAGCACCACACTCTCACGAGTGCATGGTCCCTGCCGGCAGGTAAATAAATCTCTCGGTAATTCCAACCAGTCTCTGGTCTCGTCTGTAAAACCGCCCCACAACAGTTTCCCCTGAAGAAAAGGATAAAAACCCTTCAACAAGTTGGGTCAGGCAATAAGCACAAAAGCATTCTTGCAAAAAAAAGCATTTGATCAGAAGGAAGGGATGGAGGGTCTTCCTCGGAGGGCCTTCAGATTTGATTGTGATGTCTTCACGTCAGGAATGTAATATGCTTAGGCCATGGAGCTGGGGCATGTGTGAAAATCACACTGAGAATATATGGGTTTGGCTAAAACATTTTGGGATCTGGTGTCTCTTTATTCCATTGGGATGGAGGTTCTCTGGTGTGAACTTGATCTCAGATCCAATGCGATCAATCTTCCAGAACGGTTTCCCCTCCCTGTACCCATCCAGGTTGCTGAGGAATCTTCTGTATCAGGTGGGGTGGTGGGAAGACACAAAGGATCTCAGGATAGAAGGAAAACAAGTGCTTTCCAATATCACATTTGATATTGTTCATATTTATATGTGAGTTATATTTATATACATATATAAATATATATTATATATTTAAAATAAATTATAAATATATTGTATAAATATATTTAAATTATAATTTAGATATATTTCAATTATAAATATATATAAATATATTCATATCAAATATTTATATTTGATATTGTTTATATTTTATGATTTTAATATATTTTGAACTACTATATTTACTCCTATCATGAGACTGTTGTATTTTTCAGACTCTTTTATTGTACTACTGGTTTTTAATGTAATGTACACCACCCAGGAAACCCTAAATTGGGCTATAGTTTGAAGTATATGAATTTAAAAAGGAATAAAATAAATAAATAACCACTACAAAGCAAGCAGAAGTCCATGTTGGACTTAGCCCTATAAGGGCAGATCTTAGTTATAGTTAAAAAGAAAAACGTCTTACAGATGTCTTCATGTCCAAACTTTGTTGCGATTGTAGGACTTGCTTCTGTCTACCTAGGCTGTATAGCATCTCATGCCCGAATTTTTGTAAGCAAATTACATTCGGAATATAAGGGAATAAGGGAATGGATGAGGGCCAATAAACTGAAACTCAACCCAGGCAAGACGGAGGTCCTGTTGGTTGGCGGATCGGGTTTCGGAGAGGGTGGATTTGACCTGGTCCTGAATGGTGCAACACTCCCTCTTAGGGACAAGGTCCGCAGCTTAGGAGTACTCCTCGACCCGGAGCTTTCTTTGAAAGCTCAGGTGACAGCGGTGGCGAGGAGCGCCTTCCTTCAGCTTCGGCTGATTAATCAGCTGCGCCCCTACCTGGAGTACGACTCCCTGGCGACAGTGACACACGCGCTGGTGACTTCCCGCCTAGACTTCTGTAACGCGCTTTACGTGGGGCTTCCCCTGAAGACAGTCCGAACACTTCAATTGGTGCAAAATTGGTGCAACAGTCCGAACACTTCAATTGGTGCAAAATAGAGCTGCCAGGTTGCTGACGGGGACGGGGCGTTATGCTCACATGACTCCAGTCCTCCGTCAGCTTCACTGGCTTCCCATTGAAGCCCGGGCCCAATTCAAGGTGTTGATTATGACCTACAAAGCCCTAAACGGCTTGGGTCCTGGCTACCTGAACGAGCGCTTACGTCCGTATATGCCCGACCACCCCTTGAGATCTGAGGGAGAGTCCCTTCTCCGGGAACCCTCCATGAAAGAAATTAGGAGAGTAAGTACCCGGAGGAGGGCTTTCTCTGCGGTGGTGCCCAACCTATGGAATTCACTCCCCAGAGAGGTCCGCCTGGCACCGTCGTTACTGGTTTTTCGGCACCAGGTAAAGACCTTTTTATTTAAACATCATTTCAATTGTTAAGACATATGATCTGGCCAGGGCAACTTCTTCTTCCTTCTCTTTCTCCTCCTATATTTTTATTTTATACTGATAGTTTTAATTTTATATTTGTAAATCAATGTATTTTTTGTATTTTTGTATTTAATGGTAATTTATTATGTACTATTGTATTTCAATGTATTTTATCGTGTTGTAAGCCGCTCCGAGGTTTCGGCAAGGGGCGGCATAGAAATGTTTAATAATAATAATAATAATAATAATAATAATAATAATAATAATAATAATAATATTTATGTCTGCAGCTGTGTGAGCAAATTTGATTTGGATGGAATACCCCAAAAATATTCTGGCAAGACTTTAAGGCAATATTGTCCTCCCCTATCTTTTCATATGCTGAACTTTTTCTGCAAAAACCAGAATCCACAACTGGCATTCCCTTGCTTTTTCTCTTTTTCTCAGGAAAAAAATGTGTTGGAGTCACATTAGGAAAACCCCTGTTGGAATTTTTGCAAGCCAGTGCAGGTTCGAAGGACCAGCTGGAGATCTCGCTGGATTTCTTCCGGCATTTCCGATGCCACATTTTGAAAGACCAGAGCTGAGACTGAGTCACTGTGTGACTCAGAGCACAGAAATACACAGCCTCGTCCTGGAGAGAGACTCCTTCAATCGTCAGAGGGGCAGTATTGTTTCCAGCAAAGAAAACAGCGGAAAACTTTCCTTCAGAAAACTGATTCTTCTGGGAAGCATCTTCGTAGGCACGCAAGATCAGCTGGGGCTCTGTTTTTGAGGACTGACGATACCAGAAAATGTACGGAGTGGCACCTAGAGTGTTTGTGAACCTACAGGACAAGATAACCGTCTCTCCCTCCTGTCTTTTCTGCACCCCTGGTGACTGGAACACTGAATCAGTCTGAGAAACTCCTGCAAACAAAGATTTAAAAAAAGAATAAGAAGCCCATCTTTCTTTCTTTGACCCAGTCCTCTTTCTCCCCTTTCATGCATGAAACACACCACTCAAGCATCACTGTGAGTCAGAGCACAGAAATAGACTCCTTCGTCTGAAAAAGAAACTTTCTCGATCTTCAGATCTGCTGTCTTGTTTTCAAAGATCAACTCTCCTGTGTGTTTTCCTGAAGACTTTTTCTGATATCTATTTAGCGTTAGTAGAAGCTCCAGAGGTTTATTGGGAATTTGATGATACCAAAACACATAAGGGTTACTATCCGTTGTGCTGTAGCTGCATGATAAATCTGCATCTTTTCCTTCTAGGAAGTGTAGCTGGGAATCTGACTGTGAAACGGAGTCACTTAAGCCGAAATCTGTGAAGATGGGGGAAATCATTTGTCTTGTCCTGTACACCTGTTGTAAATCCATCTTTGCTTCCAACTGTGTCTTTCTTTCTCTGCTTATCTATCTATGCACTTGACCTTCTGAGGCTTTTTCAAAAGAAAATCGGCACTGATTTTCCCCACCCTGCTGAAGAATATAAATTCCCATCTTGTGAAAGAGAAGATGAGCCAAACAACTCTCCTTGAATCCTGCCCGCCTCGCTTCACTCCCCATTTTTAAAAGAGAATATGCTTTGGTATGCCTCATCCATGATCCAAAGAGCTGTTCAGACAACCTCCCCCAAACTGAGTCCCTCTGAACATTTTGGACTACAGATCCCATAAACACTCCCAGCATGACCCAAAACTTTTTGAAGGGCCCACTTTGCGGGAAGCTGCCTGGGTCAAGGCATTCATTAAGGTTTGCCCATTTGGCTTCCAGATGCAACTTCAAGGCAGCCCCATAACTGGACCTGCAGAAGCCATGTGGGGAATGGAGGGCTGCTCCTAAAGACCCCATAGACCCAGGACGAATCTGAATCCCACTTACAGCTCTTTGGATCATCTATTTAGATGCATTTAACACTGTCGAAGCTGATGGATCATTTAATAAATGCTCACATGGTACCTCAGGATAACCTTACCTGATTTCAAGAGAAGATAGAATGTTCCCAGAACAAAGATGCAGTGGTGATTTTTGTGAGGGGAATTCATCCTTGTGTCTTGAGAATGCTTGGAAGGAAGCAGCAATGAGAGATGTTTTCCTTCTGCTCAGGAAGATTGCAAATGAGACAGCTCTTCAAGGATGCGCATTTACTGCCTAGAATTACAGCTCTTGAATAGGAGTATCTTGACAAGGAACTTGTGAAGGTCTTGTTCGCTCCCTAGTGGCCAATGATGTAAATGAAAGAAAACAGTGCAGTAGGGTATGGATTTTCAGTTTGGATTTCCAAGACTCCGTCCTCACGTGATCCCTTTGCATGCAGACAAAAAATGGCCTTCTGCCACAACTGTCAAAGGACACCATATTCTCATTGTCATGTTGCATTTATATCCCACCATTCTTCCTCTTCTGAGGAAGCCAAAACAGCTTACAAGGTTGTTCTGCTCTCCATTTTTAAACTCACAACAATTCCGCAAGGTAGGTTAGGCTAACAGGCAGTGACTGGCCCAAAATCATCCAGTGGATTTCAGGGCTGAGGGGGAATTAGAACCCGGATCTCCTGAGTCTGGCACCCTAAGCCACTAAGCTACATAGGAAACAGCCTGTTTTATCAGAGTTGCTTGAAGAGGTTTGAGGGAGCAAAGCAAATTGAACAATTTGAATTTTGAATCTTTTCCACACCAGGCAAAGATGTTTTTATTCACCAGACATTTCAAGAATTGTAGAATTAATATTTTACATTCTTAAGGAATTTTAATGATTTTTTAAATCATTGCTGTACAATTTAATTGACATGTAGTTAATCTGTTAGAGTATGTTGCATTTTCCCTTTCATGGATCATTGCCTTGTCATGGTGAAGGGACTTGCGTAGCTCAATGAAGCTACGAGCTGTGCCGTGCAGGGCCACCCAAGACGGACAGGTCATAGCAGGGAGCTCTGACAAAACCTGATCCACTGGAGAAGGAAATGGCAACCCACTCCAGTATCCTTGCCATGAAAACCCCATGGACAGTACCAAAAGGCAAAAAGATATGAAGCCGGAAAATGGGCCCCTCAGGTCGAAAGGTGTCCAATGTGCTACTGGGAAAGAGCAGAGGGCTAGTACTAGTAGTGCCAGAAAGAATGAAGTGACTGGGTCAAAGCCGAAAGGACACTCAGTTGCAGATGTATCTGGTGGTGAAAAATCTATACTCCATAGGAACCTGGAATGTAAGATCCATGAATCAAGGCAAGCTGGATGTGGTCAAACAAGAGATGACAAGACTGAACATCGACATCTTAGGAATCAGTGAATTAAAATGGACAGGAATGGGTGCATTTAATTCAGATGACCATCAGGTATACTACTGCGGGCAAGAATCCCTCAGAAGAAATGAAATAGCCTTCATAGTCAATAAAAGAGTAGGAGAAGCAGTACTGGGATAC